ACATTCCCTTAAATAAAATTATGAGAATGTAATGAAATTTTCAGTTGATTAATTAAAATAAATTTTGACAATAACGATGTGACACATTCCTCCAAAGATTTAAATATTTAAATAACAGCACTATAATGAAATTCCTTCCATTAGCATCTGACTATATAAGCACATTTGCTCATGCTTTTCATATCTAAAAACAAAATTTAGAAATGGCATTTTGGTTGAAACTTGTTTCATTTTCTCAAGTAAGATTCGTCTGCAGGTAATTTAATTAATGGAAGAAAAAGAAGTTCCATCTATCTTATTATATACATTTTCATTAGTGGTTTTCAAAATTTGGTATATATTTGTGGTCTTTGGCCAAATTTTGGCAATTTATAGTCTTAATTTAATCTAAAAAATGATTAATGCTTAGTTTTATGGTTATGGGGTATTTTAAATGAGAATTAAGTGAATATACATATTTTTTTGTTGCAGAAGTGTATGGAGTAATAATAATAAATGTTTTAAAACTATTATATTAGAATAAAATTTTGTAGAGAAAGTAGAATAGAAATATGAATAAGGATTAAAAAGAATATAAAATTTCTGAATGTTAAATAAGAGAGTATTCCTTATTATTTAAAAATATGGTAGTGGGTACTGAATTTGTACATTTTAATTCAATTGCTGCTATTTTAGAAGGCAATAATAATAAAATATTGTGACATCTCTAACATATATAACAATAAAATACAAGAAAATGAGAATAAAAGTGAGATGAAGTTGAATTCATAAGATTCTTATATTGTTTTAAAATAGCGTAATACTGTTTGAAAGTAGACCATAATTACTTAAAGATAAATAATGTAATCACTAGAGCAATCATAAAAAATAACACAAAAATATAGCTAAATGATGATACACAAAAAAATAGTATACAAAAACAATATGCAATTTAACCAATAAAAAACAAGAAAGGCATAGGATAAACATGAAATAAATTACAAGATAAAAGAGCTAAACTGAATTACATTGATAATTACTTTAACTCTATTTGGCTAAACAACCAATTAACAAGAACATATTTTCAGTCTAGATTAAAGAATAAAAAGAATCTAACTATATTTTTAAAAGATATACTTAAAATATAAGCAAACATATAATTCGAGTTAAAGTGTTAAAGGAACAAAGCATACTGTAGTGTGGCTCTATAATATTATACTAAGAAGATTTTGAAAAAAAGTGGTAGCAAAAAATTTCATAATGGTGAATCAAGTTCATCAAGAACAATAACACTTTTGTGTATGTACCTTTAAAACCTATATTTACACAAGGGGAATCTTTGAAGAAATAAATAAATAAATGCAAGGCATAGTTTGAGATTTTTTAACAACTTTCAGGATTTGATAAAACAGACCAAGCCAAAAAAAAAAAATGACAGTACAAATGTAAATGATTTGAAAAACATGATTAACCTGTATGACCTAGTGAATACACACTGACTGTTACACCTAATAAACATAGAGAGAATATTTATTAGAATACACTATACACTGGATACTAAAACATGTCTTCATAAATATTGAAGGCTTGAAATCAGTTTACATCATCTGACTACATGGTATTTAATTAAAAATTAATAGGTACCTTATAATAAGATATCTGAAAAAAAATCCCTAAGTATTTGGAAATTTAGCAGCATACTTCTACATAAACCATGGAGCAAGCAAAAAAAAGTAATAATAGATAAAAATAAAACAATATAACTGTTTTATTTTACAATATTAAAATTCACATCATACTGGTAATTATATCACTTGCAACTACTGAAACACAGAATAAAAAAATTAGATGTTAACTTTAGAAATGTGTTAAGGACTACATAGCTTTTCAAAATTCTCTTAGGGGAGTACTTGAGTGACAAAGGGTGAAATCTACTGCTCCAGCTCATGGGACATATTTAATGAATAATCCGCGCCATCAGAGACCATGGCAATGAAGGGTGAATTGGGGGAACGCGTACACAAGGGTTGAGAGTCCTATATTGCTACTTCGCTTGCAGATTTGTGTATTGAGAAGTTACAAGATCCTGGAGGGGCCAAGTGTGTGTGTGTGTGTGTGTGTGTGTGCGCATGTGAGCGTGCACGCGCGCGCACACACATACACACACTCCTAGTACTTTTAGGTAGGAGCGGCACTCAGCTTGTCTCCCAGAATGGTGCAAGAGTAGCAGAAAAATTCTTATTACCCTAAGTGTGTTTGGATGTAGTGAAAAGCTCACCTTCTCTGAAAGGGCTTTGCATCAGCAAGAGACAACTCAGATGCCACCTGCGAACTGATGGCAGAGTTTAAATAGAAAAATGTCATCATAGATGCCAATATAAATAAGTAAAATCAAATATTAGTTGAACTATTTTGATGCAATTCAAGTAAAAGAGGGACATGCTTACATACTTGAAATTGTTTTGCTCTCTTAATGGAAAAATAATAGCATCCACTTATTGAACTTTATGTCAAGCACTGTAAGAATTCCACATGTATTAACTTATTTAATTCTCACAGCTACTACATGTGATAGATGTTATCATAATTCCAATTGTAGTGAAGGCAACAATTCATTAAGAGGGATGTAATGTTACCAGGTTATATCATTTATAAGTGGAGAAGCAGGAATGGGAATTTGAAACAGAAATTGAGATTCATTTTGAAATAAAAAAAAAGATAAAGCTATTTTGTGGGTTTGTGTGTGCATAATCTGTGGATATGACAAATACATATATGTACATACAAACATCACTAGGACTTCACTGATTGATACAGCTGGATAGCACCTCCTTATGTTTTGTTTCCCATGGCTGCTTTTCCTATCCATGAGTCAAATTTCCTCTCAACATCAAACCAGTTTACAACTGCCAAATCACATCAACTCAAGAGAAGATGCTTTAAAGGTCCAACTTCTTTGTTGATGAGCCACGCTCTATTGTTTGTAGCACTCTTGTTTGTAGTGGAGAAGGAAAGATGATTATAACCCTCCCATCACACATGCAAGTCAGTAAAAGGAAAAAGAAAACAAGAAGTTATAACTTCTTTTTCCTACATAGAATTTAGACATAACATTCTGAAAGGACCTAAGGAAATAGGAAATTCCTTTCATCTCCTCAAACCCTTCATGGGCCAAAGATTGTATGTATAATGAAAAATATCCATAGAAACAATAGGAATGACTTTATTCTTATAATTCCACCATCTATCCATTTTGCCATGCAGAAATTATGATGTTTCTGATCTCATAAAATGTTTGGATATTTTTTAAGTAATTGAGGAAAAAAACACTTTAGAAATAAAATTCACTCTGTTTTTTGTACTTGGGGGTTGAGAGGTAACCTTCCATAGAATAAACAGTTTTCATAAGTTTGTTATAATGTCATTCTTTAATAGCACTTTATGTACATAACACTCAAGCATGGCAACATAATAGCCCTGAGAAATACACAATCTAAACTGTGTGGAAAGTATTATTTTATGAGGTGAATAGACAAACCCATTAGTCAGTAGAGTGAAGATGGCATTTTTGTTTCTAGTTCTTCCAATTCTCAATACCTGTGCACTGTGAAAGTAATCTTGTGATGTAACCATAAAAACTGAAATGCATTTATATCAGAGGCCCCTTAGGAAAAACAATATATTGGCAATAAAGTTCACTGAATGACATATACATGGAATTTGTTGCAATTGGTTTTGATTCTGCAGAGGGGATTACATTCTGGTGCAAAAGGTGATTGGATAAAAGGCTGGTGGATAAATTAAGAAAAATAATAAAAATACTTTCCCTGACAATCTTCCACAGCTTTGTCATCACACATAAAATTCAATGAAATTAGCAATGCCTCTTGTTAAGTAAACATTTTTACTTACTTCGTCTGCTTATTTCCTTGTCTAGACTTAAGATTTTTACAGGCTTCACTATGCTTCACAACAAAGCTGCAGTGTCTCTCTTGACTTTAACTACAACAGATACAGGGAACAAGGATCTTTTTCTTAATTTTTTTTCTCTTAGGTAGGAGTCATAAAGCACCAGAAAAGCATAAAAATTCTAAGGAATACATTCAAATTATTTTAAATTTAAAAGGTTGACATATAAACAAGGGAATTAGGGAGAAATAATTTGAGGAGTATAGAATCCTCAGGCTGCAAGATTTGCTGAGATCACTTTCAATTTATGTTGTTTCTTTTTTTTCTCCCCTCACATTACCACAGATTGAAAGCCCAGAAGTAGAAGAAATCTCTAGTAATTGTCATTCAAATGTATCAGCAGAATTATGAGTTAACCTGGGGCTCCCTCTCTTCACTTTTATAAAGACTCATTTCACCTGGTTAAGGTGTCATCTGATCCACTGACTGTAGACTTTCCAGCCTGGATCACTGGCATTTAAACTTGACAAAGAACACAATGGAGAGTCCTTCCAGTTCTAGCGATAGGTCAGTTTATAAATAAAGAAAATATTAAGACATTTATGGGATACTTAATATATATGTTCTGTCCTAATACTTGACTGAGATTAACTTGGGCAGAGAAGTAAGGCAGAAAGAGTTGTGATAACTTCCCCATATCCAGGCAGTCTGGCTCTAAAGGCCAGGCCTTCCTAAACTATATTTATTTTCCTTACTCTAGACCCAAAAAGTCTGAGTAACTGTCTACAGATGTGAGTGTAGGTACAATGCTTCTTACAGAGAAAACAAATAGAAACTTTCTGGCCTATGTATAAAATATAAAAATACACATATTGTAGAAACCGATAACATTGGATGGTTCTGGAGTTAGGACTTGGATAAATGAGGAATAGTGGTAGAAGAGAGGTTTTCATGTATATTTTTCTGGAAGTTTTGAATTTTGAAATATCTAGATGCATTACTTTCACCAAAATAAATAAAACTTAGAAAAAGCCAATTATAAGATTCAGTAGATTTATCATGTCAACAAGCAATTGTCAGCCCAATATTAAAAAGAAAAGTTAAAGACATACTTGGGGAATTCAGGATGTTTTATTTTGCCAGGCAAATGCTTTATTCAATATCCAATTAAATAATAATGTGCTAACTACATTTAGTTTATTTTCTTACACCGAGTTAACATTCACTGTAATGACAGTTTCATCATGCTAAAATCTATTCACAAACCTATGCTTTGAAAAAAAAGTGCTTTTCTAGAAACTGTTATGTACAATACAAATAGAAAACATATTATTTAGTCATCGAATTGTCACATGATACAAAATAAAACCAATCAACATTCAGTATACATTAACAATATTTTTGAGGAAGAACATTTTCTTTACATTTGGCAGTTCTGTTCAAGAAGGATTTCTATAATTTTAAACGAAAAGTAATAAAATTATATACAATTTAATAATGTTCAAAGTAAAAGGTATTAAATAGCACAAATAATATTACAAAACTAAACACCCTTAACCATCTATCTATCAGTTTGGGTTTACATGAGGCAAGGGGTCCCATGTAGTTTCCCCTATCCTCTGACTCTAAAACAACTGTACTTCAACTCCGTTCATAGAATAGATTGGCCACACACACACAGAAGATGGGTTTGGTTTTACACACATTTCTACTTGTGCACATACAAGAGAATAAAGAGGTTTAATTACACCCTTTAAGCAGGCAAACTATATCATAAATTGTTTTAGAGACTGCTTATAATTATACACATTTGCGACAATAGCTTTTAATCAATAGCTTTTTTTAAAAAAATGAGTACTATGTTGTGTTTGAACTAGTTTTTCCCCATTGAGGCCTCCTCTTATAATAATTTACCACCACTTAAATAAGTAATCATATTCTTAGATTCTCAACGGTTACACATTCATTTTAACAATGACTTTTAGTTCTTGAAGCTTTCTTTATACTGCAGTGCTTAAAAAGGTGATATATCTACCTTACCTTCTTCAAGGATTAACGACAAATAAAACTTTATACTCAGTTTTGATTAGGTATCTGATGCAATTTGTTTGCAACAGTAAACATGAAAATATCTTTAATGGTAGATAAAATGAAAGAGCAAAAGTTGTGTTTTAGAAGAAATATGAAGAAATTTTTCATATTTCTTCCATCTAATTGTCATTTGGAGTAGAAAACTTAATATCAAATTATTTTAATAAAATGATCCAAACATACAATTAGAAGATAATTATTTTATTAATCACAAAACTTATCAAATTTGTATTTACAGAGCAGTGAACATAATGTACCAACATTCTTTTAAAAGAATGTCTATTTTTGTTCAGATTAGATTTTTTTTCATTTCTCCCCAAAATGACCACACAAAAGATCATTAAAAATGAACTGATGACTTAAAAATCAATGTTATCTCATGTTGGTAAACAAAAAAAAATGTGAATTAATCATCAAAATTAATTATTAAAGTTAAAAACTAGTCACATTCCTTATAAACTGTTAATAAAATTCTATTTTCTACTTTCTTTTTTTCCATTCTGATGGTTTCACCTTTCATATACAAGTTTGATATTTCAAAAATTTTTTCTTATCTTGTTTAATTTGCCACAAAAGACTAAAAATTTAGAACACGGTAATCAATTTAAAAGTATAACATTATATTCTCTAAGTCTAGAATAACTTAAATAACTCCTCAAAAGAAAGTGTTTCTGTTTGGAAGATAACATAAAACTATAAACTTAAATGCTTCTCTGACATAATTCCAATCAAAGACGTTTATTGTGAGGGTCATTCATTTTTATCTTCCTGAAACAAGCGAACAAAGATCAATGACAGATACCAGCAACTGACAACTTTTACAAACTTAAAAGTAACGAATAACATATTTCCCTGGAAGCATACAAACTTCCGTTTTTTCTTTATGAATTACTTATGTTTTGTGCAGCTGTTAGATGCCCTCTTCCTTGTCTTTTCTCTATTCTACATTTCTTTGACAGCTACCCAGTCACATGCATTTATACGACTTTTATACAGCTTTTACTATGTAAAAGTTGCAAAGTTAGTTATTTGTTTTCATATATAAAATCAGTGACAATTAGAAATCTAAACCCTTAAATCAAGGAAGGAAGATCACAGGGTTACGGCCCTTGTTCAATTAATTAAGGGATGTAAGAATTCTAGTTTTATAGTCGCCATATTGATTTTGAAGAAAAGGTAAATAAAGATATAAATAAAATCTGGGTTAATTTAAATATTTATATGCACCATGAGGACCATGACATGTCTAGTGCTAGTCAATATCATACAAGAAAATGCATGCTCATTTCAGTTCATGTAACGTTCACTTTAGGAGTGTGTAACCATCTTTCTCAGGAATTTCCCATGGGTAAAGAACAAGGCTCATTGTTCAAACTTTGATCACTGATGAGAGACCATCTGCTACTGGAAGCCTTCGCCCCATGTAAGAAGACATTAGGACTCTGGCAACTGATTCCTTCTGTTTCTACTTTTCCGGCTGTTGATGAGAGCCTTTAATTTGCCATAGTCCCCTCTCATTTTTTGGGCTTCTTCTCCCTGGTGATGTTGCTGCCGAGTGTCTTTGCAGTACTGATTAATCATCTGCATTTCTGAGTGGCTAAATGCCCCCATGATGTCTTTCGGGTGGAAGGGTAAAGCCCTCACGGAGCTGGCCCAGGTCCACGGGGACCATTTGTCTGTTACAACAGCCACCATTTCAGAATCTAAAACTTTAAAGTTGATCTTGGCTATGGTCTGCTTGAAGCTGTTTTCTGTCGCAATGCAGTGATACAGCCCTTGGTCAGAATCCTGAATGGAGCGGATCAGGAGTCCTTGGGAAGTGGCTATGATTCGTTCATTCAGCTTGACCTAAGAGAGAGACAGACATCAAACCCAACTCTATATCTTCTAAAAAGATAGCCAACATATAGAGTACTGTTGACTTAAACACATTTGGCAGAAGCATGGAATACTAATTAACTTCCTTCTTAAGAACTAGGCACAAATTTTTGGTCAGTTCCATTGTTTCCTTTTGCTCAGATCTTGTCTCAAGGGTCCTGAATCTACTAATGAGAGGATGAAGTTATCACCTATATTGCCAAAGATAGCTTAAAGTGCATTCCCTTTAAATACAAGTAGTTTCTTCAGATACCAGCCCAGAATTCTGGTTGCTTTTGGAATGTGACTCACAGTCAACATATATAACAAATAAATTCCACATATAATTTAAAATATCTATTTCAACCTTGAGTTCTTGTCTTTTATTGTAACAAAAACACTCACTTATTAGTAAAAACAAAAAGCCACAATTAAAGGATTGAATTTATCTTTTTTAATGAATGAATGTTCAACAAACTAAAAATTACATAAGCAGAGGCAGAGTTTTGAACATTATCATGGGCTTTTTCCAATTATCCCATATAAAAAAAATCACTAAAAATAAGCTGAAATATCATTTCTTGTAAGTCTTCTAAGTGGTTTTACTTTCCAAGGAAAGGTAATACAAAGCTATGAGGTTAATATTTAATTACTTTACAGGTTTATACTGAACAAAGAAACAAAAAACAGAAAACAAACAAAAACCCTATCATTTGCTGGATATCAGATAAAGGCTGGAAATACATCTTTTTTACAGTTCCAGCTACAGTTTTGTCAGTGAACAGATTAAAAACCTAAGTGGTAAGAATTTTCTTGACATGCATACTCTGAAATGCTCTTTCACTGAGGGAAAAAAGAAAGTTGACCCAAACAATAAAAAGGAATGCATGTGAAATGTTTTTCTAAATGGTAAGTTTCTGTGTAAATGTGTATTTTATTAATAAAATCCAAATCAAAGATAGGTTGTTTTAGATAAAAAGTAATCCACACAAAAGCACCAAGAGGAAAAGTACAGTATTGAAATACAGACAATAGAACAGAACTAGAAAAGAGCAGGAGGAAGCAAAGACTAAAATATATAAAGCAAAATTCTGATGTTAATGTAATTTTTAAAGTTTAAATGTGCCTCAGGAATAGTTTAAATAATGTAGAAATACATTCATAAAAAAAGAAAAGAAAATACTTCCTATTTGTGCAACATTGGGGAAAATTTTGGAGGTCAATTTGATAATATCCATATAACATGTATATAATATATATATTTGGTGCAGAAATTTCATTGATAGGTATTTGTATAAAATATGTACTCTCACAAGTATGCATACATTCATTTGCATGATATTTTTGAAAAGAGGAAAAACAGGAAAAAACCTAACCGATCGATAGCTTTAAAAAACTTAAGGTACATTCATATAATGGGACACTATGCAATCAAGAAAAATGAGGTAGTTCCACATGTACTGATATTGAAGTGTGTGTGTGTGTGTGTGTGTGTATGTGGGGGTGTAAGAAAATTATTGAGACTAGGAGAATATTTGGAGGAATACATAATGATTGAAAATGTAATGTTGGTAGCCTTATACTCTGGGAAGTGGGAATAAGTATTAAAATGAAGCAGATAAGGGCTTTTATTTTTCACTTTATGCTGCACTGTATAAACTATTTGGATTTTTCTCTGAGTTTTTACCATTTGTCTTACTTTTTTGTTTCAAGTTCAATATTTATATATTATTAACATGAAAAATAAGTGTGTTTGCCTAAACTAAGGAAGAATGAGGATAAGTTTAATAAAATACTAATAGTATATTCAACTAAATTAAAAATGAGTGGACTTGTGCTCTGCTTAGATTTCGGACAAAACAGATTTTATAATTATATTAATTTTTTCATAATCATAAATTAAAGGATTCTTATGTTTCTGAAATTTAAAAAATCAAGATAGTAATATTTGCGTCTCCACATTCTTGAGCATTCTGCAATGGAACAATAGAGTTATCACAAAAGAGATTTGATTCATAAGACATTCCATTTTAAATTTTGTTTATTAATTTCTGTGCCATGTATTCAAGGATATCTATATATATATATATTCATTTACTTTAATTTTAAATAGAAATTATATTCAACTTATTGTATATTATTCTATTGAACATTCTACTGAATAAAAGAAAAACATTTGATCCTTGTTAGATAATCCCTTGTTTGAGTTTTAGATTTCCCATTCACATACATACAGACAGACTTTCTCAGGAAGGGTGGTTCGTGTCCATGTATCATGTTCTAGTCTAAGAACTCCATTCTGTATAATAATCATCATCAAACATTATGGCTCCTACCCCACATTACTTTGTAAGGCACTTATTTTATAATCCACATCTATTCAAAATAATTTAAAATTATTAGACTGTATAAATTTCAAGACTTCTCTGATGATAGATTTTGTAGCAAAGAAAATAGATATCAAATAAATCATTTTTATTAATGAAAAATTAAAATAAAATTAGTATCATAGAATTCTAGGGCAAGAAGGGGTCCTGAAGTTCACCTAGCTCATATTTTCTCCAGATAGTTAAATCCTTTCTTATACAAGTGGTCATCGGTCTATTTTTCATATTCTAGTGACAGGGGACACAAATTTCTTAAACAGCTCATAACATCATTGGATAGGCAGGTCTGAGCATTAGAAAGTATTTTCTCATAGGGAGCCAACATCTATTTCAGTAACTTTGATGTAGCGTCTATGTTCTATAGCTTGGGATGTGTCCATTCCACATAGCCCTAATCAACTTAATATGTAGTATGTAGTATCAAAACTGCCCACAATGGAATCCACATAAATAAAGGAGGCTCCATTTTCCCCTTTCCTCCATCAGGCTTTTTGATGTACTGCTAATAGCACTACATTTTAGAGTACTCGAAGGCTATATATGAATATATACATATACATATACATATATATACATTTACATATATATGTGTATATACATGTATATGCATGTATATACATATGTGCATATCTTTTTTTCTTTCTGTCATTTACCATGCATGACACCATGACATCGATATAATGGAATTCATTATTTATAATATTTTACCCTATGCTGTTTTCCAACATTTCCCTTTTAAAACAGCTCTTTCCAATCAACAAAAGGTTAATGTGACTGTCCTTTTATTTGAAAACCTAGAGTTTTTTTCCATATCACTAAATAAAGGCAATGGTCTCATAAACAATGATTCCATATATTACCTAACCAAAACCCGAGAGTCATGAATAATAAAGCAATGGAAATGGATTACCATATAGCAGAAAAATGCTGTTTTCCATAAAGGTTATAGTTTAGTGTAATTTCTTGCTGAGGCAAATGGAACTTTTTTTTTTTTTAAAGCCCCTTTTATCTTGTGAATCACACAAAGGTGCTGTTGTGTGAGAACTTGGCTTCTGGATTTGCACACATCTTGTTTCTTTTACAAATGCTTCCTCACATCAATCCCCGTCTGAGTGCCCAAGCTCTTGTTTCAATCACCATGTTAGAGGTGAGCCAGTAGAGAGGATTTCTAATTAATCCATCAACTCAGCGGACAAAAGATTTTACAGAAGTTGGCACTTGTCATCCCAAAGACATAAGAGGATGTTCATACGCCTCTCCTTTTTCCTTTGATCTGAGCCTCGCTGGGGGATGGTGAGTTAATGCTCCTTCCAAAGCCCTGATTGATTGCTGCTGTGCTGCATCACTCACCTCTTTCCTCCTGTCTTTGTCTTTCTGCAATAACCACTTGATAGATGCTTGAGGAGACTTGGGGGCACACTCAAGGAAAGTGGTGTTGTTTTTTACTCCATACTGAACAATTTCAGCTGCATTTCTATATGCTGAAAAGCAAAAATAAAAGGAGGGAAGGGAGGGTGGTAGGGAGGGAGAGAGAGAGAGAGAGACAGAGAGAGAAACCATGGAATTTACAGCATGTTCTTCTACATGAATGTTTATTTCTCTATAAAATTGGATCAATTATGGTAGCCCCCAAAAGGCAATCTTAATAATTTAACAAGGAGACTATTACACACTGTTTATCTGTGTTGTTTAATCTAAAGGGAAGGAGAGAACGACTTAGGGAATAAGTATTTATTCAAGAATCATTCTATACCGAAGAGTAGAGGTGTAATATAACAGTAATAGGAACACACTTAATGGCACTTGGACAACATCTTTGTGAATCAGGTTTCCTAAGTTTTTCAGAGCCGAGCAGACTGAGTCTCTCAGTTTTGAGGTTTTTTTTTTTTTTTTAAGCTCTCTGAGTTTTGAGGAAACAAACATCTGGAAAAGGCAGAAAGCAAGGTGAGGCCACAGTGCGATGCAGCGGTTGAGAACACAGGCTTCGGAATTAGAGGCACCTGAGGAAAACTCCTGACTTTACCCCTACTGGCTGTGTAGCCTTAGAGAAATTACATGATCTCTCTGTGTTTCAGTTTTATTTGGCCCTAAAACACAGACTGTTATATTTTTATACAGGTTTCTTTACTGAATTTCTTAAGTTCAAAAAGCATTTAGTGTTTATCATGTAGTAGCCTTAGACCTGGACAAAATACTCATTTATAAAGTGGGAATAGAAATAGACCCTACTTTACTACAATTTCTTGAGCAGTAAGTGAGATCATCCATAAAAAAGCATTAAGCTCAGGTTCTGACACAAAATCAACATCCATGTCTGTTCATCATTACCTTCACAGCCAATATTACCACCACTAGGACTATGGCAACTATTAATAAGAACTGACACAGATTTATAAAATACTCAGTAAATAGAGAAATGGTAACCCGGATTTATTCCCTCAGTTAGATGTATGGAAAATTAAGCAAAATGTGTCTTAATTTGTCCTTGTAGCTGGCGTAGTTAGTAACAAGAATCCTTACTAAAAGAAAAAAATGCCCAGGCTCAAAAAGGTTATCAATAGAAGTCTCAATGTAATGTGTTAACGGTACATCTATGGCACCTTGGTGAGCCAGGAGGAAGTTCTTCCTGGGGATATTTGTGTTGGGGTTGAGATGGGATGAGGGGATGAGTGGGGAAAGTATATCATGGTATCTCCACATGAGGATGGGAAGAAAGGGATTGGGTTAATTGTAAGAAACAAGGCAGAGTTGTCAAAAATACATGAAATGGTTATAAATTGTAAAATCAAGGCACTGTAGTATCCCCATTTCCAGAGCAAGATTATTTGCAAGAGCCAAAAGGTAGAAGCAACCCATGTGCCCAGGGACAGATGAATGGATAAAAAAAATATGTGATATATATATATATATATATATATATACACACACACACACACACACACACACACACACACACACACACTGGAATATTCTTCCACCTTGAACAGGAAAGAAATTCTGACACATGGTATAACAGGAATGATCCCTGAGGAAGACATTATGCTAAGTGAAATAAGCCAGCTACAAAATGACAAACATTGTTTGATTCCCCTTATAGAAGGTATTTCAAGTAGTCAAGTTCATAGACACAGAAAGTAGAATGGGGGTGGCCAGCAGCTGAGGAAGGGGGAATAGGGTGTTAGTGTTTAATGGGTACGGAGTTTCACTTTGGGAGGATGAAAACGTTATGGAGATGGATGGTGGTGTTGGTTGCACAACAATGTGAATGTATTTAATACAACAGAACTGTACACTTTAAAATGATTAAAATAGTAAATTTTATGTTATGTATATTTACCACAATAAAAAACAAGCAAAGTGAGTGCTATTCTCTTTGTTCTTAGTAGTAAATTTAAAAAAGTAATGTTTTTCTTCAGAAAGAAAAAATAGCTAAGAAAATCTGTAATTGAAAGACCTACCAACAACATACCAAGGTATCTGTGCTGCCAGACTTGTTTTTCACAGTTCTTAGTATATATACAAATAATATTTCATTTTTAATAACCATATATGAATACCAGTAATTATATAGCAAATCTTTCTTTAAAATATTAATAAATTTATTAATTTATTACGATGTTTCCTTTACTGAAATGTGATATGGAGCATTGCTACTCTTCATCAAGTTTGACCACTGCTCACTTTTAATACCTTTTAGATTAAATCCTCTGCATTGAGTCAATGGATTTCCATGTCTCACATCTTGTCTTCGGCTCCTCCTGTAAGTAAAGAAACATATAAAAATGACTTAGAATTAACATTGCCAATTATACCATGTTTAAAAGACAGCATTTTTAATTTTACAATCTTTTATTGCCTAAGCTTTTATAGAAAAAAGAGGTGCGATTATCTGATATTTCTTGTTGAACACTTATGATAGAGTACTTAACCTTGTTTTCAATCTAAATTAATCCAATCTCTTCCCACCTACCTCTTGTGCTCTAATGGCTATGAGCCTTCTATTATGTGCATTTCCTAGGTAAATGCTTGATTCCAAATTAATAGTGTAAATTTTTAGTGTGGAGACATTCACCTAAAATTTTCTAAGATGATAACTCAGAAAGTACAAATTCACTAGCATCTTCCTTCTTATCAATTTTTTTCTTAAATAAGCATACTTTTCTTTAAAAGGTCAATACTTTCTAAAAGTTTCCAGATATATTAAAACTTTTCCAAAACAAGTGATATCGAGATAGGATCTGGATATTTAAAATAAAGTTAAGTAAAATTGTTCATTTACTAGAAAAAGCATTTTCCTTCAGCTTTCTATTTTGAAAATTTTCAAGTCCCCAGAAAAATAGGTATATGAGTACAATGCACACTGGTATACCTAGATTCAGAAATTGTTGTAGTTTGTCATATTTATTTTTTCTCTCATATGCAAGTGTATGTCATGTATATACTGTGTATGCACATATATGCAAATAAGTTGCTGACATGTTTCACACTTCAATGCTTTAGCATATATTTTCTAAGAATAAGTAATTTTCCCACATATCACCATACTAAAGACACTAATATTTATTCAATAACATCATATAATATACATTTTATATTAAAATTTCCCTAGTTGTCCCAACATATCTCTTATGGATTTTTAAAGTATTCAGGATCCAATTAAATTTCACTCATTGCATTTAGTTACATATCACCAGCTTATACATTTCAAAAATTTAGTTACATTCTTTGTAAGTTAGTCATTATTTAAATACAAGTTTTAAATTATTTGCAAACTATTTAATTTCCTGTGTCTTAGTGTTACCTATATATATTAGTTTTAATTGTATTATGTAGTGCAACAAATCAAATTAGAGCAACTGACATTCTCTTCGAAATGAATCATGGATATAAGCATTGCTATGAGACAAGGAAGAGAACTCTCTTTACGGACTAGGAGTACCAGGATAAATTGAGTATTTGCTATCAATGCTGAGAAGTATAGATGACTGAGCATATCACCTAATTGGGTTAGTAATTAAGTCTCTCTTAATATTTTACCCTTAAAAATACATTGAAATATTCAGTAAAAAGAACAGAAATATTAAAATTTCACAGGGATTATGAAATTTACAAGGCAAAACTAATCTCAGGTCATTGAGAATGAAAAAAAATTCATTTCAATGTCCCAGTGAATACTTAATAGCTTATGTACTCAGTGGTTTACATATATCTATGTATGGGATTATAGGTATAAAATTCTGTGTCATTTAAGTGTGCTTTCCATAAAACAGTAACAGAATCCTTATTCAAATATACATTTCTACAGACATACAAACACAAACTAGTGGAAGTCACTCTTGTCTCAGAAAATACAATTAGTATTGTACTCTAGAAGAGCTCCTATATTAAGTTTTTACTGCAATTGCATTTACTATATATTTAAGTCACAGCATTATTTATTACCAGCCAACTTGTGAGTGTATATAAGAACACATTGGTGTGTTCTTATGGCTGAATTGGTTCTTTTCAGCCATCTAGACAAGCAATATCACTTGCATTGGTTAAATTTATTTTCCTGTGATCAGCATTATGTTATAGTTTACTCATGTACATGAATCCTCAAGCTGGGCAATCTGACTTTACAGTATCACATAACTCACAGACATTCAAATACGGAACAACATTATTACGGCTTGGCTTAAATGGTATCAGCAAGGCAGTCATCTGAGCCTTTTGTATGTGTAGATTCTCTGGAAGGCATTCACAGAGCATCGCGACAGCATGCTGGTAGGTCGAGTAATCTTATATTGCATGCAGGATTTGGAATTTGGCTCAAGTTGCGACTATTCCCCCATTATAGTCTATTCCTTTGGATAAACAATGAAATCATTTTCTTCTTGTATAGAAAACAGATATTTACTTGACAATTGAACAGATTACCCTGTCTTAAAATAAAATTTCTAACTATATATCTGAATCTAGAATAAATAACATTTGAGTCTAAATTGCAATATTTGATACAAATGCCCAAATATTTAAGATCCTTGAGGGGAAAAAAACCCCACTTATATTGTTTACTATGAACTACCTTCTTTTGAAAGAGAGAAATACTGAGCCAATGATATGTAACAACTTTATGGACTCCATTGATTTCCAAGTTTAACTATTTCTCTATTTTCATGCAAAGGACATGATTTTTTTCATTCTTATGAATTCCTCCACATGATCTTCGTGTTCCAGTTAGCGCAACTGGAATAAAACAAGGTTAAGTTAACACTGTTAAAGAAAATGAATGTCGGTGTGATGTCAGAAACAAGTCGGTGTGAGGGGTTCCTTGATAATCACCCCTTGAAGTTACAAGTTAAACAGCTATAATTCAACATGGGATTCCCTGAGCAACACACAAATATGTCTGACAGACCCACTTATCCAAACACCTGAAGGTGGGCGAATCAGAGCGAACAGGCGAGGAGCAAAGGGAGAAAGAAGTGCAGAGACGCGGCCTTAGGCTGCAGCCCAGAGCTCAATGCAGTCCTGGGAAAGGGAGGATTGAGTCTGCAGGTGCACTTTCTGTGGCCTGTGATCCTGCCTGAGGGATCAGCATATAATACAGCTGAACCCAGCGATTGGGGCAGAGACCTCAGGGCAAAGACCAAACACAGAAGTGCGACAACTATGGCCTAACTGCCCTCACTGCCAGGCAGAAAACAATGACATGAAGGGTGGTGGCCTCCTCCCACCCTCCAGAGCCTGCCTGCCCACACTCTCCCAGTGTTTGTGGCAGGACCCAGAAACAGTATCAGTGTCTGATTACAGTACAGAATATCTGCAGTGCTGAGGACTGGAGAGAAAGTTCCTGAGCGGCGGTCGCACAGTGCAACTAATGCCAGTGACAAGGGAGGAGGAGCTATAGGGACGAGGCAGCTGTGGTCTGGCAGTCGCCATTACTCGGAAGAGAACAAAGCACAAACACACCAGCCACCTCTCCCAGTCAATCCTGCTCCCACCTTACATGACCGATTGCAGCAGGGGCACCCAGGGCTGCTGAGGCACACAGTTCTGCATCTGGCTGCAGGGGCAGCACTGAGATTTCAGAGGCTCAGAACCCCATCACCCAACACATCCTCCCATGGGGATGGTGCTCTGAGACTGAGGTGACCTGGTCACAGAGGGGAAGCCAACCTCACCAGGAATTCTCCCATCATTGGAGAAGCCAGAACAGCTCAAGAGAAAATAAAATGCCCCAGCGCCATCTACTGGAAAGCAAAAGAAAGACCTCTTTATATGAACCTGAGACAGAATTCACTTCTGTAGATGCCCAGGAAGAGAAATAACCCATCAACTACCACGTTAACAAGGCAGCTAAGGAAGAAAATTAAAAATCTCTAGAGGGCCAGCCGAATGGCGCGATGGTTAAGAACTGGCTTGGGATCCCAGAGGGCCCCGGTTCAGATCCCACATATGAGGGCCAGTGACACTGCCCTCCACAGCTAAGATGCTGAACAACAGCTCAACCTGGAGCTGGGTTGCCATGAGTCGCCGGCGCCGGGGTAGGCTGCAGCCCCCGCTGCAGTGGGTTGCCATGGGCTACCATGTGTAGCCAGCAGCCAACGTGAGCAGCCAGCAGCCCCAGTGAGCGGCCAGCAGCTGCAGTGAGCGGCCGTCCAGAAGCCGGCGACTGATCTGCCTCACCCGGGAAGAGTGCAATGATGGTGCCAACTTGGGCCAGTGAAGCAACGTCCTCCATAACTAAACTGAAGAACAAAACGAAAGCAACTTGTCTGTTCCCCTTCCCCCAATTCCCCAGCACTGTTCCCATTCCCCCAATTCCCCAATAAAAATCTTAAAAAAAAAAATCTCTAGAAAATAAAGACATGGAAAAATGCAACTTAAATGACAGGTAACGCAAGATTGCAGTTCTGAAAAAAAGTCAGTGAGGTGCAAAGAAACAAAAACTCAGAACACAGATAAAAATTTTAGTGATTACCAGAGGGAAAGTGGTGGTGGTGGTGGGGGGGAGTGGTAGATGAGGAGAAAGGGGGTCAAACATATGGTGATAAATGATCTGATTCTGGGTGGTGAACACACAATGCAATACATAGATGATGTGTTACAGAAATGTACACTTGAAACCTATATAATTTTACTAACGCCATTCCAATAAATTTAATAAGTAATAAAAAAAAGAAAATGAATGTGGAAAATTCTCTGAATGAGCATTTTTGATCATTACTATTTAATCTCTAAAGAAAATAAATAATACATATGGGAATTTAGGAAATCATTCAATCATTCATTCAGCAAACATGTTTGTATTCACTATAAGTACATGGCTCAGCTAAGTTTGGAAATAATTTGGAGAAGTTAAATAGTATAGAGACTTTTAAGAAAATTCCAGTATTCAAGCCAAAGATGAGTATGGGTAGGACATGGAATACTATGCATATATTGCAGTTTTTGGCTCTTTGTGATAATATTTGCTAGACATTGCTAGAGATAATCAAGATAGCTCTTTAAATGGTTACTAGTTTCTCAGCCTATGATACATGTTTTATTTTTCCTCTTAGTACTTTTTTAACGAAGTATAACTGACATATAAATTTCTGTTAAACAACATACTTTTTCAATATACTCATATGTATATGTTGAAAAATGGTCAGCACAATGTCTAATTAACATGTCAGCATACATAGTTGTAATTTTTTTTCTTGTGATGAGGACTTTTAAGCTCTACTCTCTTAGCAACTTTCAAATATGCAATACAGTATTGTTAACTATAGTCACATGCTGTACATTGCATCTCCATGACTTATTTTATAACTGGGAAGTTTGTACCTTTTGATCCACTTCACCCATTTCTCCTACTCTCCACCTCCCACGTCTGGCAACCACCAATCTGTTCTCTTCATCTATGAGCTTGGTTCATTGTTGTTTTTTAAACTCCACACATAAGTGAGGTCATATCGTATTTGTCTTTCTCTGACTTATTTCACTTAGCATAATACCCTCTGGGTCCATCTTTATTGTCACAAATGGCAAGATTTCACTCCTTTTTCATGGCAAAATCGTATTCTATTGTGTATAAATATTGATTTTAAAAACTCATCACCAAGACCAATCAATGTCTTCTTGTTCCACGTTTTCTTCTAGGAGTTTTACGGTTTCAGAACTTACATTCACGTCTTTAATCCATTTCGAGTTAATTTTTGTGTATGGTCTAAGATAGTGATCCAGTTTCATTCTGTGCATGCAGCAGTCCAGTTTTCCAAACACCATTTGTTAAAGAGACTATCTTTTCCCCATCATATATTCTACCTCCTTAGTCATAAATTAATTGACCATATATGTGTGGGTTTATTTCTGGACTCACCATCTGGTTTCATTGATCTATGTGTCTGTTTTTTTAATTTTTATTTTTCAATTGCAGTTGACATTCAATATTATATTAGTTTCAGGTGCATAGCATAGTGGTTGGACATTTATATAACTTAAAGCAATCCCCCCGTAAGTCTTGCACCCACCTCACTCCATGCATAGTTATTACAGTATTATTGATAGCTATTACAATATTACTTGTATAATTATTAAAATATTATTGACTCTATTCCCTGAGCTGTAATTTACAGCCCCATGACTATTTTGTAATTGAGAATTTGTGCATTTAATCCCTTCATCTTTTTCACTCAGCCCCACATCCCTCCTCTAACCTGGGAACAATCAGCTTGTTCTTGTATCTGTGAGTTTGCTTCTGTTTTGCTGTCAATTTATTTTGTTTTTCAGAATCTGCACATTAAGTGAAATCATATGGTATTTGTCTTTCTCTGTTCAACCTATTCCACTAATTCAATAGCCTCTAGGTCCATCCATGTTGTCATAAATGGTAAGTCATCATTCATTTTAAGGCCGAGTAATATTCCATTGCACATATGTACCACATCTTCCTTATCTATCTTTTGATTGGAGCATTTAATCCATTTACATTTAAAGTAATTATTGATAGGAAGGTATATAGTTATTGCCATTTTATTGATTTCTGATTGTTTTTGTTTCTTCTCTGTTCCTTTCTTAGTCTCTTGCTTTCTTCTCTTGTATGTTGATGACTTTCTGTAGTATCACGTTTGGATGTCTTTCGCTTTATTTCTTGCATATCACTTATAGATTTTTGGTTTGTGGTTACCACGTGCTTCATGTATTCCAAGCTATGTTTATAGCAGTCTATTTTAAGTTGATGGCTGCTGAAGTTCGAACACATTCTATAATCACTACCATTTTATTCACCCCCTCCACCTTTATGTTTTTGTCATTATTTTGTGTGTTTGTGTGTAACCTTTAATTTACTGTTGTAATTACACACGCTATTCCCACTTTTCCTTTTAACCTTTGTACTAGCTTTAGCGTCAGTTGATCCACTGCTTTTATTATGTGTTTACCTTCACCTGTGTCTGCTTTTATGCAAATACCATTCTATTTTGATTACTATAGCTTTGTAATATCATTCAAAATCAGGAATTGTGATGCCTCCAGCTTTGTTCTTCTTTCTCTTAGATTGCTTTGGTTATTCGGGGTCTTTTGTGGTTCTATACAAATTTTAGGATATTTGTTCTATTTCTGTGAAAATGCCATTGGAATTTTGATAGGGATTACATTGAATCAGTAGATTGCTTTAGGTAGTATGGCTATTTTAACAATATTAACTTTCCAATCCATGAGCACAGAATATATTTTCCTTTATTTGTGCTATCTTCAATTTATTTCATCATTGTCTTATAGTTTTTAGTGTACAGTTCTTTCACTTCCTTGATTAAATTTATTCCTAGGTATTTAGTCTGATGCAATTATAATGGGATGGCTTTCTTAATTTCTCTTCCTAATAGTTTTTTATTAGTGTATAGAAATGTAACATATTTTTGTATATTGATTTTATATCCTACAACTTTACTAAATTCATTTATCAGTTCTAACAGCAAACCCATGATACATGATTTAATACCAGGCATGGTATTGTAACATTAAAATTGCAAGATAGTTTCAGTTCTTTATTGCAAGAACATGATTAAGATCATGATTAATGACATTAGGATGACAATGTGGAATCTATGTTTACATATCCATCTTAGAAAGGATAATTGGGGAGTATGTGGGAGAATATAAGAACAAATGAGTCAACTCATATTTCAACACAAACTTGTAAACAAAAAATATGCAATGATAGTCTATCTATATAGTATAGAATTTTACTTGAGAAATATTCCTTGTTCTTAAATAAAAATGGTAGTTGGCCAAAGCTATGGTCTGAGAGTTTTACAGGGAAGACGTGCTAATCTCCAAATATTTCACATCATAAAAGAGGCTGGTATGCCTATACGACTATGGTAAGATTGACTTTGTAGTCTTCCCATCACTCGCTTTCTTAGACAGTGTAGTGTTTCAGCTTCCTTCAACACGAAATCTATTTAATAGATTGAAGAGTATATTCTAGGTTTTAGAGATGCCAGCTTTAAAACTGCTTACCAAAAAAAAAAATCATTTCCTTACAAACAGTTATGGTGATAATTATCACTTCTATCATAATTGGGAGTGAAAAACAAATGTGGGTGAAAATACAAATAGTGGCCATGAAAGTCATTTTTAATTTAAGATGACGTGTGGAATTTGCTTTCCTCGTACTTTGTGTCCAGCTTCAGACCTCTAGTCCAGTGCAGACAGAAGATCTCGGGGTAAGGAGGTGCAGAAATTCTATGTAGAAATCAAAAAAGGCCACAGACCTTCTGACAAAATCTTACAATGCCATGGGAGAACATGGATCTTTGCACATCCATACCAAAGTCTCCTGGTTTAAACAATGGGAGTTCCCTTTATATGTCATGTCTTTAAATACAAAAGACTTTCAAATTATCCAGGCCAAGCCCCTCCTCTCTACTCCAGATTCATATTTCGAACTGCCTACTCAACCTTTCCACTTGAATATCTCATGGCACCATTAATTGACCATCTTTCTCCCCAAAAATCTGCTCCTTCCACAGTCTTCTCTTTCTCATTAAATGCTATCTACATTTTCCAATGCTCACTTCGGAGAACTTGGTTCATTTTTGAGGCTTCTGTTTCTCTAACATCTCACATGTAATAAATCAGCAGATTTTGTGAGCTCTATCCAGAATCAGACCACTTTTGCCATCTCCACCTCGGTCATTCCTCTGCGAGCCACCAGTCTCTCACCTGGATCATTATAGTAGCCTAATCTTGCAGTTTCTATCTCCCCTCCCCCATCCTCTTCTTAACCCAGGGCTGCAATCCCAGACAAACCCAACCAGATGACCTTATTAAACCAAAAGTCAAATAATGTCCCTCACATGTTCAAAAACCCTCAACTTTCCATTTTGCTTCAGCTTTAAGGATTTCTGGTCTCTGTCTTTGGAGTTATACTTTCCCAAATAATGCCACAGTGCCACTCCTTTTCACACTCAGGTCCTTGTTCAAATATCACATCCTCAGAGAGGTCTCCCCTGCCCACCCATTTAACATTGTAACCCCTGCTTCTCACATCCCTTATCTACCTTTTTTGCCTTTTAAAAAGTCACAGACCTTTTCACTTTTTGATATACTAGAGGGTTTCCTTATTTATTTGTTTATTGTGTATGTTCTCCCTCTAGAATTTATTATCCCTCAGGGCAGGAATTTTTGTCTTTTTGTTGTTTTTCATGTTACATGGCTAGCTCTAGAACACTGCCTGGCAAGTAATTGTCCAGTGATACAAATTTGTTGAACTAACAGATAAAAGGATCAGGTTAATCTTGATACGCAGAAGTGCGAGGGTTGTTTTAATTTGTCAATGTCCTTGGAGGCCTATATTTATAACAGAGAATAAAAGTGCTATAAAACACCATCACCCTGAGGATTTTACTTGAAAGATCATGAGTGCTCATGGCTGGTCAGATTTGCTCTCTTCTGTTGACACTCATTTTTATAGGTTTTGGCCCTGTCACCCATCATGACCCATATTAAGGATGACTGAAAATATCTGTGACCTTGGCGGGCCCTAACGTCTGCATACTCTTTGTCTACAGTCAATTTCTCTAGGTAGGGCATTCCCTTCCAACTTGGTGCAAGTTGTTTCAGAGTTTTCTGCCTCAACTTTTGCTTGGATGGAACACTCTGTCTTGGATTGTCTTGCTGTCTTATTTAAACTGCAATCATGCACTCACCATTCTCAAGGATGAAGGATGGTAATCAAAGTTTTCAAGGCAATTCAGGGTACCCATGCTGGGGCAAGGCTCCTGTTGCCTACACTAGCCCAAGCATTCGATTACAGGAGAATTAAGTGACATGGGGAAACCCCAGGAAGGTGGGATTTAAGGATATACTCAATTGAGACTATAAAACAAGATAAAAATTAGGTAGTATGAAAAAAAGATAAATGCTGTGCTGCTTGGAACATCTGATGGGTCACAGGTGGGGGACTGTGTTGCAGAGGTGCTTTAAAAGGAGAAAGGAATTTTTCCAGGGTACTGTACTCTAGTTAACATATCCCTGAGAATGTCATGTTATAAAGTGCTGCCACTTTCTTCATTCGAAGACTAAATGGGGTGCTAAACACAGTTGTCGCTTTTAGTGCCGTTTCTAAAGAATACCACAATAGAGCTGATTCTAACGACGTGGATGAAGCATCACTCAGTTGTCCACTTCGCTTTACAGTGAATGTTGACTCACCGCTTCCCGGTTGGGTAGAACCTTGAGCAGGACTGGCCATCCCAGGCGCAGTAAGGATCCCGGGCCAGGCAGCAGTCAGCACAGGCTGTGCCGTAGATGTGGCAGCGATGCAGAGACACTTGGGATAGCCCTTCGTTGGAGCTCACATACAACTGTTGCTATTAGAGGAATGATGAAGATTTATTTCAGATGTGGAAGTTAAAAGACTTTCAGCAGGAACACATTATAATAGATGCCCACAAACCCTTGGATTCATTTTGAAATAGACTAAAAATGAGAAGCAAAGGCCAGAAGGGTATAAAGCCAAAGTAAATAGAATTTTCCTACGTTAATACGCCTATAACATTACCACTTTCCTGTTAAAAAAAAAAAAAAAAAAAGCTCAGAGCACCATGTAGAATGGCTATGTGTTTGAGACATTGGGATTCATTGTTCTCTCAGATTTGAGCTAATACATTACAGATTTAAATTACGATGTTTGCTTTTTCCTTTGAATGCTGTCTCTTAGCAAAGCACAAGGCAGCTTTCTTACTCTTCAAATCTGGCAAGCCATCACCTTGTAAATTTGAAAGAGTCAAGTCTAAAATGAAAGCCATTTTTAAGTTTAGAAAAAAAAGTAGGTAGTATTAGGTAAAACTGAATAAAAATTTTTTTCACATGCCTTTGAAAGTGACATAATGCTCATTAGAGAAATTTCTAAAGTATTTAGGAGAATATCAGTAGTTATATTTAGACATCACTTAAACTTTCTGCATGATACAGAGATTTTTTAGCACACTAAGTCATAAACAAAAGATTTCATACTCCTTCATTTTTAGGGTGCCAAGAGTTTCTTATGATTCTGCTACACAGTTCTTTCAGCAGTGCATAAAACGATTCTTAGGAGTTGAAGGGTTACTTTTCCAATTGATCCTCCATATTTACAAATATGATATTATACAACTCAAGTTAGCAAAGTTCTCTAAGCTAGAACTTGAATACACACACTTGTACATGCTCACAAACACATCTATACACATTCATACTTTATATATGTAATATACTATTTAAAATTAAATCAGTGGGGGCGTCTTGGTCCAGCAGGCTCTGGAGACAGACTTATGGGATTCAAATCCTGGCTCAGCCACAAATTTGCTGTGCACTTTTTTCTGACTCTCAGCTTATTCTTTGGTAAAACTAGGATAAGAGAGCAACCACCCTACAGTTTTTTAAAGAACTAAATGTAAGAGCTAACTCCATATAAAATGCTTAGAACAGTTTCTGGCTCCTCAGTGCTCAATGAACATTGAATAATAGTAGTAGTAGAGTAAAGTATCAGTTAGCTATCAATTTATAATTTTTTCAATTCTAATTAATCATTTGAATTGCATCTCATTCTAATCGTATGGAAAATTATTTTATTCAGATTAGTTTTTCAGAAATCGGGCTGAAAAATACTGATCCCCAGTTGAGACATTCAAAGTATAAGAAAACAACTGAATGTTTTGACGATAATTATTTCTCTAGAAACTTTTGAAATATGTGTTTATTGAGTATATTACTAAATAATACAGTGAGTGCATCAGCTTCATTAAAAAACTTTTAAAAACTGGTTTATTTGAGTAAAGAACACAGGTAGTTTCATTTTAGAAATTACCTTTTTTATTTATCCAATTATTTTCTGCTATGGAATGCAAGAATAAATTAGAGAATAAAGGAGCATAAAATAGACAGTAAAATAGTTTGCACAGTAGGAACGGTACTAAATTCATGGTATTTAAGTATACGTATATAAAATATCGTTGGCAATTTGTAATTCTTTCACACTGTAAAAATAATGCAGTGTTCATTGTGCAAATTAATTCCTAAACAATCAATTACCCTGCCCTCGATCTAACTGATTTAATCAAACATTTTAAATTATCTACAATGTAAAATGATGAAGACAGATTTAATACTTGGTTTTTCCTGTGCATATGTGTGTGTTGTATATCACAATTCTATGGCATGGATTGTGAACTACAAGTTCATGAGCTGAATGACAAACTGAAACCTGTCATTGTACCCTGAACTACTATGCCACACAAATAGCTGTGTGTCCATTTTGAATTTCGCTCTAATATTTTCTCTTTCCATTAAACTACTGTAAACAAAGGGCTTCCCTGCTGACTTCAAAGGCGATTCTGACTTGGGATCAGCTCCCTAGGACACTGGGGAAAATGACAAATGGCTTCTTGTTACTTGGGAAAATGTTTGTTATGCACCATACAAACATTTTTACAGATGAGATCTTTAGCTCCGTTTTACCCTATTTATTTTTCTTCATAAAATTTAGTCAAGTGAAAAAGAGTACAAGACTGACTGCGAAATACTTCTTCATCTGTAACAGACCAAATATGGTGAAGAACACAAAAGTCATGTCATCAGTTGTGCTAACACATAAAACCTTTTTATTCTCTACTCCAAGAAAAATAAGTCTCAGGCTCCTACAAAGAGCAGTTACCAAAGACCCAGTTTATTTGAGGCAATTTATATAAATTAAGTTTGTGAGAAAAGCATTACCTTGCAGAGGCAGAAACAGCTCAGAGAAGTTAAATGATTTGCTGGCAATTTACGGTCCAGCTGGGATTTACATGCTTGTCAGTCCTTCTCTGAAGCCTACTCCGTTTTTGACTGTGCTACTCTGGGCCTTACAATTTTGTTTTGGGAACACTGTGTGGGTGAGAGAGGTGCATGTTTGGCACATGTAGAGATCAGAACTGGTCTTTTCCTTTCTGTGATCACTGCGTATTTGCATGTGAAGGCACACATTAGAAGATTAAACATTTCTGATGTTCGTAGTCTAACATTTCTTCCCCAAATCCCAAACTTTGATATGGCTTAGATTTGAGACATTCAGATATTTTTAATGGCATGTATAACCCTAAAAAATAGCATTTCCTTAGAAATAAGCATAAAAGAATGCATTTCACATCTCAAAAATGTGACTGCAGCAAGAACTCAAAGGATAGATTGCTCATTCCAAGCCCCCGAGAATGTTTGTGATATATGTATGGTAGCTCAAACATGCTAAACTCTTCCTCCAGAAAGATTATTTTTATTTTGGTTGGCTTCACACCCTGTAATATTTGAGAATATAGGATATACAAAATGTTGGAATATCTTGCTGCATATATATATATATATATATATTCTGCTCTGACAGACTTTTATATAAAAATAAACCTATTTTGTCTCCACTAATAACTAGTAAATTCTACATCAAAATTGAAGGTGATTTAGTGGTACACTGTAAACAGTATTAATTATTTTGCTAATACTAAATAAAGTTAATTTTTCAGAAATTATAAAATAGTTTTTCATAGTAGTAAAATTTTTTACATGCAAAGAAAATAAAAATGGGGTTGATTTTACCTTTTTGGATGAAATTTTCATTGTTGTTATAGGAACATGATTCTGAAAAGTTAGAAAAACATTATATTAGTTGCAGTTGCTCAAAGGATTTTGCATTCAAAAATTCTCCTTTCTTTTAAAAATTCAAGAAATCATCATTTCTCTCTATATGCACATATACTTTCAAAGTCTAGCAATACTTGTCTATAAAATACATTTCCTCTGTTGGGAATAAGGGTGGCTTTGTGATTCGGATATATGCCTAAATTTAAAAAATTAGAATTAGAACACATCTATCAATATAGTTAGACAAAATGAAAAGTTGAGAGAATTGGAAAAAAAAAGTATAGTTTAGAATATTGAATCCAATGAATAACTTAGAACTGATCTGGGTAGCTGGGTGGGGGGCTGTGGAATGATACCCAATCTTATTCCAAAACACAGCACTCTGTCTGCATAAGACACTATTGTTCACCTGCCAGCTGTTGCTTTGGAAAGATGTATTAGCCTGAACCACAGTTATTAATTCTTTTCATTGCAAACAAAGTAATATTGTTAGGGGTCCTCTTTTGATAAATGTGAATCAATAAAAGAAGCTACATGTTTTCTGAAATAGTAATCCTTTTTGAAAGTCACTCCATACATAACTTTACTTCTTAAACATTGTCAGTTACTTTTAAAGATTAACAATTAGACTTGTGATAACCTAATAAAGATCTGTGAAATTTTATTTAAATAACTGGAGTGGGAGCAACCTCTCAAAATCACCTGTGCCCACAATTATTTCTTTTTCTAGAGTGGTCTGTTCCTACATTTAAAAGAGAAAATGGTGATATCTCTAAACACTCTATTGCTACAAGTTTTGATCATTGCTTAGAAATACACCCACATATAAAAAAGCACTGCAACTTATATCACCTAGGCAGCTTCTAATAGTTGTACCTCCAATTCAAGTTAAATTTAGGGAAGCCGGACCTATGTTCAGAAAATATTCTGAACAGAGGATTAAAAGAAGAGATTATGGCTAGAGATCATGGTTCTGCATGCTATAAAAACAAAGTGCCTGGTTTTCAAAAGTTACATTGAGTTTTCTGCAATATATCAGTGTGGCACTTAACTAAGGAATTCTTTCAATGTAAACGCATCATTTCCTCACGTGCCCATCACACTAGTATCATACACACCCAATTATTTTTACCTCACCAGAGAAAATGTGACACAAACACCATGTTAAAGACACTAACTGTATTTGGTAAGTGTCTCTCTCAATTTAGCCACATCAATCACTGGCACACGCATCCATAATAAAGCTCAAACCTTTTTAGTCTCTCTCTTGGACGGATGGCCCCACATGCATTTTGACTGACTCTATTTTCCACTGAGAGTTTATTCTTCATGATGATAACACCAGCATAACTCATATAACAGACCATAAGTAGTTAGCACATGATCAGGCTAAGACACATTTCTTTAAGACCTTTCCATAACATATATGTTCAGTTTGTGTCAAACTCACTTAATTAACATTTCCCGATTACCAAGAAAATATTTCAGAAATAAAAATGAAGTGCTGTAATCTGACAGTTTTGCTATCTTCAAGAGCAGTCCAGAATAAGGTACTTTATATTACTTTGACTAGCCAAGTTGTCCCTATTGAATTGCATGAGAAAAAACAATTTTATACATAAATGCAATTCTGGCTAATTTAGTGAAACAAACAACTTCTTTACAAAACAAGGCATAGAATAGGCACTTGAATACACCTGGTTAACATGTTATGAGCACAATTTAAGGCACTAATCACCAAAAGTTTATGACAAAGTGAGTCTAACATTAAAAAATATAAATTTAATAACAGGGTTCCTTGGCATTTATTTGGTTTGATTCTTTTTTTGTTAAAAAATATTCCTTCACATTTAAAATTTATTAGAATAATCTAACGGCATTGCATCCTGATCACTTATAAATTCAATGTTTTTGGTGATTCTGGGAAAGTATATTAATAAGTCAATACATTCTGAGTCCACTAAACTAAGCAAAGCAACTCACTGGACTAGCAATAGTCTGTCTGCTCCTGAGCTCTGAAATGCTGCTTTTACTCAATTATAGGCTGGCTCTTGCCTTGGGCCAATGTTTCTTAAGTGGTTTAGTTGGAAATAGGAGTGTGCCATAGAACCGATTCCACGTCAAAGTTTATTTTTAATCTAACAGTTCCTCTGCGCTTTACCTGTCTTTCCAAATGAGGATAAGAGGGACCACTTGAACCTCAAAGACCTTCACCTTGAGGGGAAAGGAGGTGCAAGACACTGCAAGGTGCTCTCCAGGCTCACAGACACACAAAGAACAGGTACTCTGCCCAGAGCAGGTACACTCTCTCACAGGGCTAAACTTCCCTCTGTGGGCCTCTCTTTGTTGTGTTTTGTTTTCCTTTTCCCTTTTCTTCTGGTTTAACACCAAATTCAAGGACAGAGAGAAGAATACAATGAAATCTCAAGTTCAGAGGGAACACGAAGTTTCGAGTGATAAAGAGACACATTTATTTTATTTAATTAGAGTGACACTTGGAATGATAGCACTAAACCAAGAGAAAACAAAGCAGTTTTTCTTGAAATTCCTGGCTAAAAAAATATGAGAGAGTTTATCTAACAATCAATAATGTGAAAGTATTTGGGCTTTGGTGGCTTGGGAGGCCCATGATAAATGCCCTTGCATGGCAAATCTTCTAGACCTTGACCCCAAGGACTCGTTTTGTTAAAAATAATGATGACCAAAATTCTTAAAGTTGTAATGATAGCTGAAAAAAATACCTAATCGTTCTATGTTAAGATAGCTTGAAATGCATACAAATACTTCACATAAATGTTTGTTCTATGTTTCTCATTTCATCTGGTGTTTCCTTATCTTCTAAATTTATAACATGCATTTATTTGATCTTTTATCAAATATTTTTTTCCCTCCAAAGTGGCTGTATGATTAAAGAATTCCATTCATCATGCACGTTCTGAGACTAATAGATGTTCAAACCTTAAAAACTTCCAGCTCTTCCAGAATGAGCTCCCCACTGGCAGAGCTGTTGGTGGGGAGAACGACCACCTTCTGCACGGTTCCCCGATCTAAGGCAGAGACAAACAGTGGGATGTTACATTTTTTAAGGGAAAGAAAGACACTTAGACATAAGATTACTGGCTTAGAATGTAAGATATTGTTTGTGCAATTAGTTATCAAAAAGATATTGTATATATTTAGTTATTCTAATTTCAATACTCTAAATCAAATCTCATGTTTAAATTGAGATTCTGTATACTTCAAAAGGAACTAATATGAACATCTTGTATTTTGCACATATTTTGTACATAGTCACAACTATGAGAGGAAAAAAGAATATCTAAATGTCTTATGAAGTCAGAAGTTCTGTTTCTGAACCAAGTGTGTATTTCTAAAACATTAATGTCTAACTTTAAGTTCAGCAATTAAAAATATTACTTACTCCCTTGACCAACCTTTTAAAGACACTGTTATACTTTTGTCAACAATGACACATAATGATTTGATTATCTGATAAAAAAGGTTACTAGGAATGAATTTTTATAATAATTTTATTATATATAATTAGTACTAGAAACTGACATTTAAGCTGTAATGGTGAGAGAGTTTAGACATGGTAAAATGTTTCATTCATTATGCAAAATAATTTCAAAGCAGAAATATAACTGGTTTTAGTTCAAATGTGGACATCTAGTCATAGAATAATTCCATCATTTTCATTATTATTATTTTTTTATCACTTGGGAATGTTCCTTTGTATAGTCTTAAAATGTAAGGAAAAATTTGAAATTAGATGGGCCAAATATAAAAGCAAATTAGTAATGTACTCGTATTTCCCGATCAGAGATTGCCCAAAACAAAGATGCCTAAGTAAATGTAATACATAGAAAAAATGTTATTTTAGATTTTGAATTAACATAATTTCTTATATAAACGCTTTCTAAACATACAATTTGTCACTCTATGAATCACTTGTTTAAAAGAAATCAGTTAAGATTTAGCAATGTGGGTTTAAAGCAAATTTGTAATTTGATGAAGTAACACATTTCCTCACCAAACTATGTTTCTAATAAAATAATTAATGACTGCACCATGAATATCAAGTCATTACTTTTCTAATGTATGATCATATAACTGTGAATTTATAATTTGGAAAGGTAAATTATCACAGATACTGAAACATTTCTTAATTCTGTTGAGAAATGTTATTATAATAAGAGTTAACTTGACCTGAGTTGTACAGGACTTTACAACTAGGAATCATTTAGTGATGAATACAACAAATCTCAAATCTCACATCTCAAATTGTCCTCTTTTCCTCAGGCAAGAGTTACTTTGACATAAAAGATCCTATTTCATGTTTACAGTTTCTATTTTATGAGCGTAATTGCAAGACTCAAAATAAGTCTTAATAAAAAATAAACTCTACTTCAAAAGGCTACCAACTAAAAAATTAAAACCTACTAAGTAATAACAAAAATGTTTATATACAGAAGAACAAGACAGAGATTTTGCCAGAACAACCCCTGATCTTGTAAGGATATGAAGTATGAGCACCTGATCTTTGAAGTTTCAAACTATGTAACTGAAAATTCCTTTCTTAAGCCATATTCAAAAAATAAGTAACAATCCAAAAGTCTGCAGTCTTAGGAATTTCTCTGTTTCACTGATCAGCTTCCTTAGACTCAGCCCTGGTAACAACCTGAACTATTTTCTTGGAATATAAGTATACATTGAAAGTGAAAAAACCATTTGGGGTTGTGGTGCAGAGACATGTCACAATTGAAAGTTAATGAACATGGTTGCAGGTGTTTCCCAATTTCTATTAACAGTTCATCACAAAGAGCAGAGGAGACCTGTAGGGAAATAGGATATCCCAGGGATTGGCAAACTTTTGAGACGGAAGAGCCAATCCTGTCCCTCACAACAATTTACAAATTATTCGAGAGCCATAAAACAAATGAAATCACCATTATGTGAATAATGTCTTTTAAAAATTTTATAAATGAAACTATGATAGTTTTGTTTTCATTTTCAATTTCACTTCAGAGCCACGTGTACATACAGAAAGAGTGGCATGTGGCTTGCGAGCAGCAATTTGGCAACCCCTGGGCTATACCAATTAAACTAAAATGAAATCCTTGAAATTTTAACAGCTAGGGCAGAGGGTGTGTGTGTGTGTGTGTGTGTGTGTGTGTGTGTGTGTGTGTGTGTGCACGCACGCATGTGCGTGTGAGATAGGCAGGGTGTAAAACCATCTTTGTTTTATGTCATGTTATCATAAAGGTCATACTTTTTTCTTTTTTTTTTAAGAAGTCACAACAGAGTTTTATGGTTCCCTGTTGCAGTCTGTAAGGAAGCATCACTGCCATTCTACATAGATGACAGCATGTAGAAACATTTTCTTGAGGAGACTGAGTAGAAACTCTGTTTAACCATAATAATCCCAAATAAAATAGCATGAAAGGAAATCTTGATTACAGGGGTTCCCAAAGAAAAAAACTATAGGCTCTAAAAAGAATTAAGTATCATCAAAAATGAGACAACTGCCTCCTTTTTTACCTCATGTCTTAACTTACTACAAAGCAAACTTTTACGTAAATCATTTTTTCCTAAAGAGCCCACAACAAAAATACTTTATGCATGCTCTATAAAATATTACACAGAACAGCTATAAACATTGGCTAATAAAAAGATACTGCAAAACGTGCTTTTGACTCATTTGCAATAAAATGCAAAACTTGTTTATGACTTATTTGCAATAAAAGCTAGAATACTCCCTTTTTTTATTGCTTGTCTTTCTGTTTTAGTTATTGTTTTGCTGGTAATGATGAGTAAATATATTTTAAGACCATTAAAGGGAAAACATATTTTTTTACCAAGTAAAACTGAATGTCAACTTATCTGAAACTGTTATAAAAATATAAGTAAATTTAAGTACTGGTAACATTTCTACCTAAAAATCAAGTTTAAATAAAATCATAGAAATGCAAGATCCTCATAAAGAAACAAATATTTACTGGATGCCTACTGTGGGCTGGCTCTATGAAAAAATGTATTATTGAAGTCTGGATGTCAAGAAAATAAACATCCATTTTAATTCCCTTACTTTTCCACATTTAGACTTGTATTGGTCCTTAATGAGATAGTAGTTGTACAGTTATTCATTACACTGATTCGATTTTCATCAATGTATCACAAACAAACATATTTGTTCTTATTAGAATTCCTCATATTAAAGTCTGTTATATGCATAAATTGGAATAGTCATTCAAATTTGTGGATTCAAATATGCAGGAAACAGCTTCAAATTCCTGCAATAATGTTAATCATCACTATTAACAATGGTAATTCAAGTTTTATGAGACATTGAACTTATGTTTGGGAGGCCTTCTTCAAGCAAAAAAAAAAAAAAAAAGTTGTTTAGCTGTTTCCCAAACAAATACAGATAAGGAACTCTAAAGTTTATGGTATGATCACCTCTGATAATTAACTTAATCTTCTTAAGAAAGAAAAGTTTCTATAAAAGTGGACAAGGATACATTCTTTAAATTGGAGATTCTCTAGTTATCCAATATCTACCTGTAGAATATCTTATCACTACAATTTTATCGTTAAAGATCACTTTTTCACAAGCCAGCAAAAGGTTGCACAATTTCTTCTGCAGGTGAACATAAACAGATCTACCTCTTTGTTTCATTTATTCCTTGGCCTGTCTTCTACAGCTCCCTCCAAGTTTATCTTTATACCCTCCATATTCTCTTTGTTCTAACCGTAAGCACACCACCCTTCAGGTAGACCTTCTTCAAATTGAAAACCAAACCATTCTGCCTCCTTTTTCTGGACACTCTGCAGTTTGGCTTTGTCCCATTTAAAACATGGTGCTCAGGATTGATTATACAGTTGTTTAACCACAATGCCAGACCTCACTGCGACTGAATTATTTAAAAAGACACAGTAAATAGTTCTAGTAGTTAAGCAAGAACTTAGGTGGCTGCACAGGATCTCCAGGACTTGGGCCTCAGAAACAAATATCCCGACTCTAGTGCACACCATTGACAAGATTCCACTCTGGATGTCTTCATATTTCTGCCTGATTCAGATGGACTGCCTGATTCCCACAATCTCTAGTTCAGATTCTCGAGAGACAGATTGAATTTGGTCTAATTTAATCCTGAATAAAGCACATCATAAAGCAATACTAAGTAGACAGTTCAGCTGTCAAATTTTTGTCATTTTAACCTGTTGTGGCGCTGGGAAAGGATCAATATATGTGGAATCGCCCATGGCTCCTCCCTAAGCAGTCCATATGAACAGGGTAGTTTCTATCAAAATGCAGTCCTGATAGACACCTATAGCTTTCTTTTCAAAATACACTCACAGATCCTTCAGTTCCCTATATAACAAATACTTCTGAGGTGTCCTTGGGCTGTATCGTTCACTACTAAGTAAGTAAGTAGACAGATATCTTCCATCCATTTTCATTCATTGATTCAACAAGAAAGTACTGAGCAGCTTCAGTGTCAGGCACTATATGCAGTGTGGGTGCGGAGATAAGAGGCGTAGCACTCAAGAATTTATGGTTCACAGTGTAAACTGATGGTTTTTTGAGTAGCAGGTATGTTCCCATTAAAATGTGAGTCATTGAGAAATATGCATTTTAGAATGTCCATAAAAATCCCAATTACTTATGTCTACAGAAAGCCATCTCTGTGTCCTTTAGTTTGAAAATCATAATATCATTATCAAATGTTTTCCTTCTGGGGTTAGTGAGAATGGCATTCCTTGAATGCACTCACAACATAAATCATTTTTATTGTTATGCGGAATTGGGATATTGCTTTTATTTCCTTGGGGGAAGTACCAGGCCAACAACATAGTTAGAGTGAAGCAGATTATCTTCCTTTGATCCTTAAGCCTCAGTTTGCTTGTGTGTACAATGTAAATAATAATTATACCTTTTGTGATGGGCATCTGTGAGTAAGGCCTACCCAGAATCACTTCCCCTTCTTTTGATAATAACACCCTGAGACATCCTTTGGAAACATCTGTTTCGTTTTCAGTCTAC